TGACTGACTGACTGAGTAAATGGCTCCTGACGGGCTTACTGACTGGTTGACTGACTCCCTGGTAATTCACTGGCCATCTTACTTATTGACTGACCTGCCGACTGACTAACGACGGGCTAATTGATTGGTGACTGACTGGTTAAGTGATTGACTGACTCACTGGTAGCCAACCAGCTTACTGACTGGTTTCCTGAGTGGTTGACTGACTTGTTGACTAACCTGGTGACCCACTAGTGACTGACTGATTGAGTTAACGGTTACTGACTGGCGACTGACTGACTCAGTGACTGGTTGACTGCGTCATCGGTACCTGAGCGCCTGTCTGACCGGTTAACTCACTCGTGACCGACTAGTGAATGACTGTCTAACTGACGAATGGGTGATAGGCTCACTGAATAATTGACTGACACAATGGTACAGGACTGGCTGACTGACTGCTTCGTTAACTGGTTGACTGACTGGTGACTCACCGCCTGACTGACTGCTTGACTGAGTCGATGGTATCTGACCGGCTGACTGACAGCTTGACTGACTCACTGTTACTTGACTGTGCCCCCTGCGTTGTCGACTGCCTTGCTGACCGACTGGTGACTGATTGGCTAACTGACTGGTGACTGACTGTTTGACTGACTCACTGGTACTTGACCGGCTAATTGACTAAATATCCTTCACTGACTCAGTGATTGACTGTATGGTTGACTGACAGGCTGACTCACTAGCTAACTGGCGTGTTGGCCGAGTGGTGACTGACTGGATAACTGACTGGCTAACTGACTGAGGACTGACTAAATGACGGATTGGTTGACTGACTCACTGGTACCTGATTGGCTGAATGACTGGTTCAGTGGTTTGCTGAGTGGCTGCTGATTGACAGGCTAACTGACTAGTAACTGGGTGACTTATTGGCTAACTCACTGTTTGACTGCGTGATTGACTGACTGGTTGACTGACCAGTTGACTGACTTGCTGACTGTTTGATGAGTTACTGACTTACTGATTGGTGACTGTCTGCCTGCCTAACTGATTGAGCAGTTGACTGCTGACCTACTGGTACCTGACCCGGTGACTGACTCGTTGAGTGCCTTGCAGAGCGACTGGTGACTGACTTGATAACTGACTAGGTGACTTTCTGGCTGATTGACTGGTTGACTGACTTAATGGTACCTGACCGCCTGAGAAACTGGCTGACTGACTGGTTGACTGATCGACAGAATTACTGGTTACTGACTNCCAGTTTCCCCTTTTTTTCCTCAAAATAAACGGATACACTAAGGAAACTCTCACGGTCAGCTAACCCAAACATGTCCACGATTTTCCTACTTAAAGCGTTGGTACCTCTCGCTAGAAGAGAAGGAAAAAGAGTAGAAGAAGAAGAGATCTGAAGTGTTGTGGTAGGAAAGAATAAAAAGAGAAAAGTCCAGAGTCTCAGTGCTTCTCGTTAAAAGTCAAGCGAGTGGTAAAACCCCCAACCGACAGTTTGCCACAAGCAATCGGAGTGTACAAGTAAGTTTAGAAACATCTTGACCCATGAAACGAGAGAATTTGTGAAATTCAGTTGAATTCCTTGTTTTGATGGCATGAAGCATCAGATGAATTAAGCTGATATGTGATATGGTTAATTTGAGTTGATGCAGTTTCAAGCACGTCCCTTTTTATTTTGCAATAAAACCTCTGCTTCTCGCAGAAAGGGGTCGAAAAGGTGAAGCTTCAAAAACAGCATGAGACTTTTCTGTTCACACCGTTCGAACAGATTAAGACAAAATGGAGAGCAAAGTGGGTCCGACTTGTCGGACAAGCCGTAGGCCTTCCAATTGTAGGCTGTGGGGGTTGTCATGAAATAATAGAAAAGAAACCGTACGTGATTGTGGGTATAGCAGAAATACTAGAGCGGTGATTACAAATGTGAAAATGTTTTATCTCGATGGTGGGAAGCATTTGGCGAAGTTTTGTTGTCTTTTTTTTATCTTATTGATTTTATTTTATTTTTTTTAGTTGAATGCGGCAAGTAAAGGTGAAGAGGGTGAAAATAGTTATCTAAGTTGATCTTTCTACTGACTCGATCATACAACTATGATGATCTCGCAAAAATTAGCTGCCCCAAGTCATTTCTAGTCAGTCGTTCAACTCCAGTATTTCCCAATTTGAGTGAGATAAAAAAAAAACAACTGCTAAATTGTTATAGAAGAAGGTGGACAGAAATTCCGAGAAATTCAGGTTCAAAATTGCTTTTAAAGAAAACTTGAATTTGACCCGCCAAGCTTCTTTAGGGGGAATGGGTTTTAACTAACGAACAAGCTGAATGGAGACAGCGTACACATCACAATTGTTTTACATTTATTAGCAGCTGATACACGTTTAATTAATGGGACCATGCAACATTCAGTTTAACAATAATTTAGTTTACATTAACAACAGTCGAGGGCCTCTTTGCATATTTCCTCTCTCTTATTGTCAATCTTTGGCCTAAAATGAATGCAGGAATAAAATAACGAAGAAAGTCAATATCAGAATTATAACTAAATATGTGAATAAGACATTTACAGTCTGTGATATTTTCTAGACCAACTAGCTCAGTTCATCTTTCATAATAGCCCATTTCTGAATTACCTTTGGTCTCTTCTTCAAAGCGAGTGCTACTACTTATCGTTTCGTGTGATAAGTTTTCATTCAAGTGCAATTTAATCTCATTTTAGAAGAATGGTCGAGCACTAGGCCTCGTTTTCAAAAAGAGGCCAAAAGTAATTCAGAAATGGCCCATTGGAACCGGGAAAAAATGAGTAGCCTCAATGCAAGTAGATTTGCAAGTACAAGATTATTAGAATGTTACACTAAGCTTATTCCGCGGAAGAACAAACTAATGCGCTTCGTGTTGAATTTTTTTGTTCAATAGTCACCATCACAAGAAACAAGTGGTGAAAGGATGTTGCTCCAAAGCAAGGAACTGAGGGTTGACGGAGGGAGAAAACACCCTTGGAGAGGTTAACCACAGATTTTATTGCAGGACAAAACTTACTGTTAACTCTATAAGAGACTCGACTCTAAGGATTACTGATTTCCAAGATCATCATAGTCCGCCCCTCTCTTTGCATTGGCTGCGTCAATCGCATCTCCCTTCCTATTATCGTGTGTGGAAAAAAAAAGGAATTAGTGACCGCCCCTTCTTTGATGCTGATCGAAAATTTATGCAAGAAAAATTGTTTATTTCTCAAAGCGCATAAGAAATACTCAACTGGACTATTTTCCTTCCTCTAGGACAATGGAATTAAAATGTTTATGGCTCCTTGTTAAAGCGGTTGTTTGGTATTTGAACTTGGTGAAGGAAATAGATCATCTATACTTACTCTGTAAGCCAACCAACCGGGTGACGGACCGTCATAGTAAGGCATGCGCAATCGATCAACTATACTTACTCTGTAAGCCAATCGGGCGGGCTGCCGTGCGTTTGACAGTAAGGTGGTTTACATATATGACTCCTTTTCTCCCCTCTTCCCTTAATATCAGCTGCGTCGCTCATTTCTGCGATCCTGCAGTCGTTCAAAGAAGCAAATTTGTCGTTGACCTTCTGTTTTGAACAATATCGTAATGTACTAGGATAGTTCAATCTTCTATTTAATTTCTTGGCGTCTGCGTATGTGCAAACGTTGTAATGACTAGGTGGTGTGCTTTCAGGCTGTCGGAACCAAGTTGTCTCACACAAGTTACAAACAACCACAAAAGCCAGAAAGTCACGATGTTTTAAAAGCGTAGAGCGTTTCTGGTGAAGCTCAAAACAGAATGGTACATTAACAGGATACTTTAATTTTGTACTTTAATAAGCTACTAGTTCGATAAGTCGCGAGGTCTCGTTTTTCTTACTTTTGTTTCCCTCACAGGTTTTTATGAAATTTTCAATTTTCTTTTGCTTATTCTGCGAGACAGCGCTTGTTTCTAATGTTTTCCTTAAAAATATTGCGCGGGAAATTAGCGCGGCCAGCTGTCTTACCGCTATGTTGCCGTTAGCTGTCCCGACGGCCATATGACTTGGAGTTAGGACGAAGGTGATGGAAATTTTGGTGGTGCAGTGTTATTATACGCTCAACCATTTTTTAACATGTAAGGAAAATGGTAACGGAGCATATGTTTTATTTCTTGAATAAGGGCTGGGCTTGAATGAAGCTCATTACTTCCATGGCGAAAATCACAAATTCGATCTTGTCTCGAACACGTTGGCCGATATTTACATTTTCGCGTGTTGTTTAGAAAGTTGAATGCTCCGAGTCTGCACAGATAAAGATCAGTTGAGCTCACTGCTTAAAATAAAATAGAGCAGAATAACAACAGAAGTGCTTGACCCAAACATCGGTTGAAAATTACCCAAGAATTGCCAGGTGGGCTCTGCAAAATTTTGTTTCATTAAGTTCTTAAGCAAAAAATTTTAACGATCAATTGAACTTAGCATTCTAGATGTCATATAATGTATCTCAGTAAAGTTGAAAGGAAAGAAAATTTGCCAATTTTGCACAAATAGCATTTATTCTATTTAGAAACTCCCTTATCCATAGAATTCATATCGCATATTTAAGTCCTAAAAGGAGCCAGTTTCGGACCGGAGAGCCTCTAATTGCAGTTTTGCTTGGCCGTCTTCTCCGTTAAATTGGTTGGTAATGCCTTTGGTGTAGCGAGGTTTTTCTCCCTTATCAAAAATTTCGAGCAGTTTTTGAAGTTCGGCTACCTTCTAGACGATTCTCCTTCAAAATTATGTTGGATGAATGCGCGTAAGAATCATGCTTTTGGTGTCTTACTCCTTGAGAGAGAAATGATCGGTCATAATGTGGATATACCCTGATCAATCACTGTTTCCATGGTAACAGTGCATCTTTGATGAAATCGTGCCAAAAAGAAAATGGACCAAAACTTTAGATCAATATATAACCGCTTTTATTAACATTACAATCCAGTCTTTGAGTGGGAACATGCTGAGAAAAAAATTAACTATCAAGAATTCCATAAGTTTTTTTAACCTGGTAATTTGCTTTGTTTATAATTCTTTCCTCTTGACTTCTCCAATTTATTTTTTAAAACTTCCTTTCCTCTAACAGTTTTTCTTTTATTTTGTTTCGTTTAACTGTTTAACTGAGCGTGAATGCTTGTCTCAATCGAAAAGTTAAAACTCCAAAAATGTTCAAGTGATTCTAGCTTCGATCACATTTCCCTTAAATTGACCATACTGCATATCAAATGTCCACCATTCGAGAGATGACTAATAGTCAGCGCTGTCTTTGATTTGCCCCAAGTGGCTCTTTTTTGTTAACATGAAAAAGATCAAAACTTTCCTTGATTGGGATATATCAACAAAGTTGAAATGGTAAATTGGCCACCGTAATGATTACAAAAGCTGACGTTTCGAGCGTTAGCCCTTCGTCGGAGCTTGATTGGTTTTGTTTGGGGTTTCAGTTAATTTCCAGTAATTTTTCTTAAAGAGAAACATCTTTATTCGATGGGAATCTTGTTCGCGGGAGTTCTTCTCCGCTGCCTTTTAAAACTTGTAAAACGGAGACTCTTCTAGGCGGGCGTTTTGTTCATTTTTAAACTTTTTGTTGTGATAGAATTGACGTTTACTAAGGCCTGATGCGGTTTAATATGTCGTATGTATGCAACGTTCTCAGAGAATATGAATACCTTAGGATGATGATCAGATTAAAGTTTCAAGCGAGCGCTGAACAGCTCAAATAAGAGGTTCACAATTAGCTTGAGAATTAATTCAATCGAGGTCTAACAAAGAAACGGTAACCAAAGAGCGAATGTGATGCTTTTGAAATTGATACTTACTCTGGAAATAATTTCTGTTTAATTCTCTCTGCTGAGCGTGCGTTTTCTCCAATCAAGGAGTAAGGAAGGCTGTGTCCGTAGGCGATACAGGCAATGAAAACCAAAGTCAGCATAAGTTTTCCCATTTTCGTGTCACAGCGCAGTGCGAATTGACCGTGTACAGAACTCCTCTGATACTGTTCCTATACCACTGTCTCTCTAAATTTATACAATCGAGAGTGTCTATGGCCTTCCTGTTTTTACCGTTCGATTAGATACAAATTCCATCGAAGGTAAAATGTTACTACGCTACGTCAAGTAATAGCTTTTAACTTATCTAGAAAGCCGCAGGCCTTCCGAATGCAGACTGTGAGAGTATAATTACGAAACAGTTGGAATATTCCAAAAAGTGTGAGAATATTTATCTAAAACTTAGGTTCTATGATTTATAACTGAAATTAAATTTTCTTATGTCGACGGCATAGAGCTTTACATGACGTTTTGCTCTTTTGAGTGCAATATGCCGGATGAAATTAAATGTGGGTTTCCTTCTTACTTCGTCACAACTGAGAAAATACTTCTAGAGACATGCAGAGGTTAGAATTTGTAGGGTAAAATGTTGCCTCCAGTTCCTAACCAAGCAATAGAAACGTGAAAACTAGCCTTTTTAAAACAGAATACAAACTTTAAAAAAAAAAAACTAATCAAAACTCAAAATAACTAGTATTTAAATGACAAAGCTCCTTTAATCTCTCGGCGAAGCTGAGATTTCACTCTCATGGCGGGTAGGTTAGGGACTCTTTGTCTAGTTTAAAAAGAATGAGAACTAGCGAAAAAAAAAAAACAAGAACACAACTTGACAGCACCTTGGCTTTGAAAATCGTGACCTTTCTGCAAACTATAAGTTGTGAGAGAAGAAGAAACCTTCAATAAACAAATTTTCTTGTCATACGCTATCGATAGAAAAACTTCCAACGGCGAAAGCTTTCGAAGGACCTTTTAGCATTTCCCATTTCAATTAGTTACAATTTCAAAACTCTCAGCATTTTTTCCAATTAAAAGCACATCCTGAGCTTTAGGAATTGATAAATCTCCTTTCAGTTTCTAATACTTGGTAACAAAAGTAAATGACCTTTAATTAAAACAAAAATTATCAACGCTAACGATATGGGAGTTTCCATCATCTTGCATCGAGCTCCAAACAACAGTTTTATCTGGACCAGTAGGAAAAAAATGTTTTGCATTGTTACAGATCTCGGTAAGAAGATAATGTCATAATACATTCATTTTATGATAGAAAAACATTTTAAAGCGTAAAAGTTACCAACGGCATCTATCTAGAGTTAAGGCCGACTGGATGGCAAACTTTTGATTTTCTCTCCAAGGCTTTCAAATTGTAAATTAGTCAATAATTTGCGCGCCCATTCCAGCTTCTTAGCATGTCAAGTTACCTCCCAGCATTTGGAAAGGTTTCTGTGCCATTTCTATCATTTGTTATGCTATAAACAGAAAATATTTAAGGAAACCGTATCAAAGCCTTGTACAAAATTGCTTCATTTAAAGGTGATGTGTTAAGAGGTGAGCCAGCTGATGATAAGGCAAATGTTAAATAAAATCAGGGTAGAATCTCCAATAGAAATGAAATAGTTAGTGATCTACCGAGAGGCCGCGAGCTATCGGATTTTAGCGTTGCGAGACCACTGTGATGACCACTTATGATGAAAGACACTGTGCCTCGTAAACCCTATCTACAGAGCAAAAATTTCTGTAGGAAAATGATGGATAAAACCTTTTTGGGTTCACTAAGACAGCTTAGTATGAAAAACATATTTATCACAAAATTTTTCAGTTCTCAAGTGCAATTTTTGTTTGCCGTGTACTTCTGTGGGTTATGTGTGATAGTGTAACATGCACAAGCACAGTTTTAACTGACTTTGCGATGACGTACTTAAATTTGAAAAGGGAACTGAAGTTTACATTTTCCACTTTGCGAACAAGATTTTCAATAGTTTTTGTCTTACGTTAGGATTTTTCGTGTCAGTCAAGAAGCTCGCAGTGCATAGGGGGAAAACAAGAAAATTTTATCGTCGCATGTCTTCTATGTGACTAAATATATCTTATTAGACATTTTGTTGGGTAGTATCAATGAGTACTTTTACGAGTTGTGCCGTATTTTGACGAGCCCATCGGGCGAGTCAAAATACAAACAACGAGTAAAAATACCCAGCGTTACTACACAACAAAACGCCAAATTGTTGTTTCAGTTCGGGCGAATTTCGCAGACTATTTCAGGAGTACAAATATCGTGAGGTATTTGTATTCGTCTCGCGCGTTATTTGTACTCTACGAAGCACAGTTGGATAAAAATAAGCAATACTACACACGAAAGCGTCAAATAAGTTATTTATTATCCAACTGCTTTTATTTCTGTCAAGTATTTCTCCTCATTGCTCTTAAGGTGGGAAAAGCAAAGCGGATAGAGAAGCGTAGCCGACCAGTAAAACGGGTTTTTTTACAACACAAAATGACCAACTGTACAATATCGCGGGATATTTGTACTCTATTCGCGCAATATTTGTACTCTACTGTGTGCAGTTGAATAATAATGCTGAGAGTGGTAAAAGAATGACACAGGAAAACTGGTGTCAGTGATGAGGAAAAGTTCAGTACGAGTCCATTTGTCATGTTGTTAGTTTTGGAAGTCCCTGTCTCGTTTCTTATATTTTCTTTTCTTTCTTTTTTTTTATTGCTTGTGTTGTTAAGGTTCTGTGTAATTGTCTACAAAAATATTCTTCACTTGTAATCCAGTTATTGCTGTATCAAAAACCATCAGATCCCTTAGATATCCGTTGAAAGTACTTTGAAACTGGGAATCCCGTTTGAGCCCGATGTCAAACACGGTGTGGCCGGTGGGGTTGAGATCCAAGTTATTGGATGGTCCAAGAACTCTTTGTTTGACATCTTGGAATCCATTTATGTACAGTCTTCTGATTAGTCCTTCGCGACTCCATGTGAATGCAACGTGCAACCATTCGTCTACGTGGATATGCCTTACGGAAGGAAAGAAACATCATAAAGATTCGTTCATGCTAAACTGAATGTTATTTTTCTTAACCATTCAAAGTTGGATAGTTTTTACAAACAATGAAAAGGAATTCGTGCCAAGCAAGAGAAAATCGACTTACAAGCCAGCGAGTTTGATTTGATCTTCTCTCTCCTTTGTTTCTCCCCTCTCCCCTCCCGCTCTCCCCTCCCACCTCGTATTGACATTTAATGTTTCCTTTTGTGACCACACTGAAGGGCGCAAGTAGAGTCCGTTTCTACTGTGAAATTTGCTTATTCATCCAACGAAAATAGAGATGCGGGGCACAACCCAGCACAAAAGTTATACCTCTCCGGTCTTTCAGTTTGATATCGTTTTACTTACAACATATTTTCGTAAACTACATTTATTTTCTCACCGCCCTGCTTCAAAATTAGAAACAAAACGAAGCAGAACAAAAAAAGGGGAACCAAACTGAAGTGCTTTACAAAAATGTCAACTGATGAATGTATTGTATGTGGCTCACCTTCCACAGACGGAGACTATATCTTACGGTCCAGGAATATCTCGGCGGAGGTTAGCGCAGAGGGTTCCAGTTATTATAACAAAGCTGAACTGGTGGGGTGAGAACCAATCAGAGTAAATGTGTATAACTGGCACATTAAGGTTTAAAACTTTTATCCAGCACAGGATACTGAAGCTGGTGATCTGGATTGGTAGTGCTGGGGTTTCTGCGTATGACAGTCCATCCAAATACAGAGCCGTTGTTCCGTCAATATTTCACTAGGTAGCACCATTCTACAAACTGCTCGCGAGATGAACATGAAACGGATTCAGATCATGTTAACGAATAAATATTCGTTTATTAGGCATATTGTCAATTCTAGAAAGGATTGTGGAAATCTCGAGAGAGATGTAGGGAGAAAAATCAATTACAACTCTTTGGTCATGATGCATTTCTGGTGTAGGTCTTTGACAATAACCTGAATGATAATCACAATGCTTTAGAATTCATAAAAGCTTTCAGCTTGACCTCGTAAAGCCATTTGAAACCATTCGTGGTGATACAGATTCGAAAAAATTATCGTCAGTGAAAACTGTAAATATTTTAGCATTCGGGAGCATATTGTTCTGTTACGATGTAAATTGTAATTGTATTGGCGGAAATATATATAGATTTGAAATAACTGCAAAATAAAATTAAGATTTTTTGACATGTTTTGCCATCACCTGAGAATCCTGCCGCACAAGTACAAGTAAATGAGCCTGAGTTGTCTGTACAAAGTGCGTCAGCGGAACAGTCAAGTGTTCTAAGGGAACATTCATTAAGATCTAAATTGAATGAAAAAATAATCAGAAGAGGAATTTTACAATCAATTTAACTGAAATCATTAATGTTACCTGATAAGACAAAAGGTCCGAATTATGATTGCAATCTTACTTCGACATGTTCTGCCATCGCCTGTGAATCCTGTCCAACAAGTACAGTCAAACGAGCCCACGGTATCATTACAATACGCGTCAGCGGAACAGTCATTTGTTCCAAGGGAACATTCGTCAACATCTAAACGGATTAAAAAAAATGGAATACCAACTTGACGAAAGCACGTTTTACTTCTTTATCTTTAAAGAGGGCATCTCGATTTCCAGCGAATTCCAAACGTGAAAAATGATTCCCATTTTTTCTTGTTGCGTCTAAGAAAAGTTTGAAATTTCTTATTTCGTCAGGCAAGTTTATTGATGTCTGTATGAGAGGAACAATGAGGCAAACCTTACTTTGGCACGTTCTGCCATCGCCTGAGAATCCTGTCTTACAGGTGCAAGTGAATGAGCCCACGATGTCATTACAATAAGCGTCACTGGAGCAGTAATGTGATCCAGAGGTGCATTCATCGGCATCTAAATTGGATAGAAATAAGGGTTACTTAACTACCATATGGAAAGGGGTTTTTCTTATAATTTTTGAGGAGGCGATTTGACACTGAAGGAATACACATCGATGACCAATTGTTTTGATTACTTTCATTTTTAACTCAGGGCGTGTGTCGATGGTATGTCCTATCAATACGTAATTGGGAATTTTTTTCTTTGGGACACTGTCAGGGTCTCCGAATTCATCCCGCGGAAATTTTTCATTGTAGAAAGTTTTAAATGTTTTAATTGTAGAGTTTCTTACATTTAGCAGATGTTAGGTGCGAAAGTATGACAATGGCGATGACCATGATAACG